ATTCCTTGTTTCTTGTGTCAGCACCAGTCTTAACCATGAAGACTGCAGGGCATTGCTTTAAATTTAGCATTGATCCCTCGTTGGTTATAGAGCCGATGCTTGGTTGTGCAGATATTAAACGATGCATATCCATTATGTAGGTAATAAGTATGCTGCCCTGCTGTAAAATGAAGCAATATACTATGTAATGCATGACCCCACTATACTGGATGATCAATAGGACCTACAGAAGGACTGAACCATGACTAATGTGGTTCATTTGGCTGCTCAAGACCTCTGAATTAGACCATAAACAGACCTACCCTGTTCAAAAAGACAAAGCAAACCTAAAGATTCAAATCATGTCTCAGCCAGCTCTGTGTAATCTGGTGGAAAACAACTGTGTTGCCACACTGGGAAAAAAAAAAGGAGAGCCGTGTGAATGGCTACAAAAGGGTGTGGGTGAGGAGAGCTTGGGGATGGAGATAAAAACAGATGATGATTTATATTTCCAAAATTATCAATCTAAGCCATGATGCAAAAACTTGGTCAGCCTCAGCAGGCAGACTGGAACAACTCCAGGGCAGAGACTGCAGCCACACAAGTTATCTCATCGCCACTGACAACCTGGGTGTGTCTCAACACACACAGGAATATTTACCAACTTGTATCATCCACAGCATCAGACCCGAGGCTGCACACTGCTGTCTCCCTGCATGCACATACCCAGCCTCGTTTGCTGTGTGAATCCTAACAGCTAGTCCGGGATGTTTCAAACAAAACAGCCAGCTTTAAGGCTTTAAACGAGCCTGTGTCATTTTACTGCTAAACTTCAGAGACTGCGGGCTGCTACATGTCACACACTCCGCTCCATTGTGAGGCTGGTAATTTGATTAAAATAACGCCCTCCCCTCCACACCCTCACTCCCACCAATTGAACACACACATTTCCCCCGTGGAGACATTTCTTCATGCCTCAGTTTAAACCCCACAACTCAAACTAGCTAGTTACGTGTCTTCCACGACGTTAATGAACTTGCTGACCCGGCCCCGGCAGGTGCAGCGGGTTCACACGAACACAAAATTAACTTCTCGGGAGAATTAAACACGTCTTACCACTTTGCTCCCCCAGAAAGACGAGTTTGAATTTTCTTAAAGGGTTTCCAAAGTCACTGCCCACGGACATTTTGAGGAGGAGGAGGGGGAACTCTGGACACCGGAGGACAGTCTGACTGGTAGTTGTGTGTGTTTCCCACTCGAGTTCGGTGTCGGTTGGTGAAGATGCTGGGTGGAAAGGCGGCTCTCTTCGTGATGGGAACACACTGCTGTGCTGCTGCTGCTGCACCGGTCCGTGACGCTTACTTCATTTTTTTCTCATACCCAGGGCGTCTGCGCATGCGCGGCCTCTCCTCGTTCTCCGCTCTACTGACAGCCGTGATCTAAAATGACGTCATGTGAGTCGGGGGAGACAGACATGGACACAGAGCTGCTGGACCCGGTGTCATCTGTCTGGAGGAACTTCTTCTTTTAGTTCAGCACATTAGAAAGACACTGCTGTCTCTGTGTTACAGAGACAAACACTCAAGTGTGTGTGGCAAGAAACAATCAGGCTAATATTTCACACTACCCCGAAGTAACATCCATTATCTTGTGCTGCATTCAGATGCCTTTGACAATCGCTTAAAACATGGCAACACATTTCTACAGGAAACAAAGAAAAGGGCATTGAGCATTATAAGAAAAGTGTTATTAGAAAATCATCAAAAAAGTAGGAAAATATCACAGAAAATAAATACAGATAATTAGTTTAATTTATAGCACATTTGTTTTTTTATTTATTTTACTTTTCTTTGTCCCCTTTTTCAGGTAATTTTATTTATATATTTATTTATTTATTTATGCTTATTTTCAGGTATTTTTTTTTCGTTTATTTGTTGCTCATTTTCAGGGAATTTTCTTGGTTTATTTGGTTGTTTTTTATTTTTATTTGTTTTATTTTTATTACTTTTCTTTGTTCCTTCTTTTCAGGTCATTTTCTTTATTTAAGTTTCTTTTTTTTACTTTTTTGTCCTTTTTTCAGGTAATTTTCTTTTTCTTTCTTTTTTGCTTATTTTCAGGTTTTTTTTCTTTTATTTGTTGCTTATTTTCGGGTAATTTTCTTTTTTTATTTTTCTTTGTAGCTTATTTTTGGGTAATTTTCTTGGTTTGTTCGGTTGTTTTTTTTATTATTTTTATTTTATTTTTACTTTTCTTTGTCCCTTTTTCCAGGTTAATTTCTTTTTTTCCTTTTTTTGTGCTTATTTTATGGTATTTTTTTCTTCTATTTGTTGCTTATTTTCAGGTAATTTTCTTGGTTTGTTTGGTTGTTTTTTATTATTATTTTTATTTTATTTTATACTTTTCTTTGTCCCCTTTTCCAGGTTAATTTCTTTTATTCCTTTGTTTTTTTTTTCTTTGCTCCTTATTTTCCAGTATTTTTTTCTTCTATTTGTTGCTTATTTTCAGGTAATTTTCTTGGTTTGTTTGGTTGTTTTTTTATTTTCATTTATTTATGTTTTTACTTTTCTTTGCTCCTTATTTTCAGGTAATTTTATTTATTTATTCTTTTTTTTTTTTTTNCTTATTTTCAGGTATTTTTTATTTTATTTTATTTGTTGCTTATTTTCAGGTAATTTTCTTGTTCGTTAGTTTTTTTCCCCCATTGTGTCTTTTAATTTTATATCTTTATTTTTGCTTACTTTTTAGGTAATTTACTTGTGTGTTTTTGTCTTGTTTCATTTTTTACTTTTCTGTTTTTGGCTTGTTTTTGAGTAATTTCTTAGTTAATAACGTTACTTCTTCTAACATGTTAATAACTTGCTAATTTTCAGGCCTTTTATTAAGTATCTCATTGCCTTCTTTCCCTGTTTTTGAAAAAAAAAAATCAAGCCAGTTTGCTCAGGTATCATGGGGTTAAAGCAGCTACATGGAGTTTTTACCACAAGACCATCTACAAGAGGACTATTTCTACACCGCTCAAAAAAATAAGGGAACACTTAATGGTCACAGTATAACACCAAGTCACTTAATCTTCAGGGGCTGTAGTCACAAAGCTTCCTCGTACTATGAGTTGCTCCTAATGACAAAATTCTAAGAAATTTCTTAGAATTATGACATTTTCTTAGAATTTCCCCTTAAACTTAAGACTAGTTGCTTGTTAAGATAAAAGTTATTCACAGAACATCTTAGCCCTTAAGGGAGCTAAGGGCTGTTAGGAACAGGGAGGAGGAATTTTAAGAGGCTTAAAAGTTTCTTAAGCACAGAAGAAAATAGTGGAAACAGAGAGAGGTACAAGAAATATTTCTCTGCTGCTCTGCTTTGGTGCAAATCAAAGTGACAACAGGTGCAATGGAGAGGCAAAAGCAAGACAACCCCCAAAAAGGGAATGGTTTTACATGTGGTGTCCACAGATAGCTGCTCTCTCCTTATCCTTCCTGACTGATTCTTCTTTAGTTTTGTCTTCTGCTAGTGTCCTTGTCACTACTGGTAGCATGAGGCGGTACCTGCAGCCCAGTCAGGTTGTACAGGTAGTCAAGCTCCTCCAGGATGACACATCCACACATGCGGTCCGAAGAAGGTTTGCTGTGTCTCCCTGCACAGTCTCAAGAGCATGGAGGAGATACCAGGAGACTGCACGGTACACGAGGAGAGCTGGACAGGGCCGTAGAAGGGCATCAACCCAGCAGCAGGACCGGTATCTGCTCCTTTGTGCAAGAAGCCAGAGCCCTACTAAATGACCTCCAGCAGGCTACTGGTGTGCATGTTTCTGACCACACTGTCAGAAACAGACTCCATGTGGGTGGCATGCGGGCCTGATGTCCTCTAGTGGGACCTGCACTCACAGCCCAGCACCGTGCAGCTCCATCATTCACCAGAGAACACCACAGTTGGCAGATCCACCACTGGACCTGAAAGAGTCTGGAGACACCGCTGTGAACGTTATGCTTCCTGTAACATCATCCAGCATGACCAGTTTGGCGGTGGGTCAGTGATGGTCTGGGGAGGCATATCCTTGGAGGGTCGCACAGACCTCTATGTCACAGCCAATGTTACACTGACAGCTGTTAGGTACCGGGATGAAATCCTCAGAGCTATTGTCAGACCTTACGTTGGTGCAGTGGGCCTTGGGACGAAGGCATTTATGCTAATGACTGGCCCTCTTGTTCCCCCGACCTAAATCCAATACTGAACCCCAGATTGCTCCCAGTGGCTGCTCCATTGGCGTATGAGTGCAAGTTAATGGTTACTGAGCCGCAGGTGGCACCCCATATGGTAAATGAATGAAATGAGTAGAAGACTTCACACTGACTTGATTAATTGTATTGTATATTAACCAGTAATGTTTACACATTTATGTACTCTACTGTAACAACCACATAACCACAGCAGTAGAAAGCATAACATGTGCAGTTAATTCCATTCATGAGTAACAGTGTATGTACTTGATATCTGAAAATTCATTAGCATTGCAATTAAATCAAGTGTTATACATGTGATTGTATATGAAACGAGTATTGCAGGTATCACAGATGTCTCTGTGTATGAGACAAACATCTATAAAAAAATAAACTTAAATATTAAGCTAATACAGGTAATTAGTTACAGGATATGTTCCCATTGGAAATAGAAACCTGGAGGGATTCCTACGATACAGGAACAAGTATTACACACACAGTAAAAAATTCAGTTGTCTGAACTCACATCATGATACATAAAAAATATTGTGAGGTACGACACAGAAGTATGGAGGACAAAAAATGACATATCAATAATTAAATAGTAATGTATATAGGAATACAGGAAAAAATAAATAAAAGAATAAATTAAAAAAATAAGGACCTCCTATGTTATTAATAGATACAACAATACATAAATAAATCCATAAATGTTGTCTTAAATAAATTTAAGATTTCATTTATATTGTTTAATTATCAACTTTTAGGTATTTATTTATGCATTTATCTATTTATTTCAACATTTATTCTTTTATTTATTTATTTCCATGTTTATTTATTTAGGCATGTATTTATGTCTGCATTTATTTTTTCTTTTATTTATTTATTTCCATGTTTATTTATTTATACATTTATTTATTTATTGATACTTTAGTCATTTTTCGTCCTCCATACAGCGATGTGTTTCAGCAGTCCTCTCTTGACTTGTATTATGCGGGTCATACAGTCAGAATAATTCCAATCACGAGTATTAAAGCATCCGAAAACATCAGACATTGTCCCTTCTGGAAAATGTACTTCCTAACTCCAGCGGGTGAGGCACCTGGTGGGGAGGTGGGCCTACAGAAATCGAGGTAAGCGTAGGCCCGTGTTGGCTGTGGCTTCGCTCTGCACACTGTTCTTCAACCACAACAAAGCTTTAAGGGACAGAAAGGCTTGGATCGACGGGGACGCTCAGCGGGGTCACAGTGGTCCTTCAGGTCTCTTCTCCAGACTGTACTCCTGGGTCCGCTTCACCTTCCACCCCAGCATCATCAGTAGGATGATACCCATGACCTTATAACCCACCTGTAAGCCCAGGTAGCTGCAGGGGTCAGACAGATAAAGATAAATGATGTGGATGTCCTCTGTGTGTGTGTGTGTGCAATATGTGCTCTAAGGGATAAGCTTTCTCACCGGTTCCTCAGGATGTTGTTGTCATAGTAACCACAGCTAAACTTCTTTCCACACACACGCTTCCACCAGATACACGACGTATCGATGGCCGTCCCGAAGAGAGCGGGGGCAGGAAGCCAGGCTGAGAGGGACACAGAAAGGCAGCATGTTAACACATTTCTGTCCACATGTGTGTGAGCCAGAGCCACTAGAGGGCAATCCAACATCTGCTTAAAAGTACTGATGAACGGAATTTAAATATATGTTAAATTAGACTGTGTTATTTTGGTGTAGCAGCCACTAAACAACCAGCAACATCCCAGTGAAATTCAACTGTACAGAGCCCCAAAGAGTGCCATATTAAATTAATAATACATATATTAACCAATAATTTGTAAAATAATTTCAGAAAACTAACAAGGTTATTATATCACTCTTTTCAGTTAGCCAAGAGTTTCATTTTAGTTTAATTTCATTATGGTAATTCTTTTAGTGTAGTGTGTTTTTAATTCATAACAGCCCATAGACACTTCTATTTAATATCATATTTTATGTAAAATAATCTATGTAAAATTCTGTAATTGTATAATACGCTTTGTAATAAAAATTAACTCTCATATAAACTGTAAAAATAATGATATATTTCATAATAATTAGTTAATAATTAAAAAAACTAATTACAAAATGAATTGGTTGATTTATATATTTTACTCAGTTTAGTCATGCAATAATTTCTTTCTCTTTTTTTTCTTCTTATTTTTTTAATATTGGACACTTTGGGACTCCATACAGCAGTGAACTTTGTTGAGTTATAATAATAAAGACAGGTGGATATTATGGGATTTGGGGGTCAATTAGGCACTTTGAAAAAAGGAAGCATATCATCAATACAATAATTAGTCATTCATAAAAGTGTAGCACGACACACTGACTTACCCAATACTCTCATGAGTAAAAATTGAATTCCTATTGCGAATGACTTCTCTTCAGAGGGAACACATCTGAAATGAACGGGAAAAGAAATTACAAGGATATAAAACAAAACCAACATTTTAAGTATAATATAATACTGGAAAACTGCATAAACACATTCTGTAACTATTACACTTACTGAATAAATCTGTTTTAGCATCTTTTTGTATGGAGGACAAAAAAATACAAGTATTAATGAATAAATTCATAAATAAATCAAAAATGAATTAATAAATGGTGATATAAACATGAAAATAAATAAATAAATGAAGACATAAAGGCAGAGGTTAAGCCCGCATAACTTACTTACTTAATGTAAAAATACAGATGCTGAAATAATTAAATGGAGTTGAACAAAAATGTGGAAATAAAATAAAGATATGAACTTACTTGTCTTGTTTATTTATCAACTTTATTTATGCATTTATCTAGTTATTTCCACATTAACTTCAACATTTCTTTATTATTATTATTATTTTTATTTATTTATAAAGTCCATAAGAGCCTCTGAAAACTGATCTGTGTGGTCAGATTTTTATATATTAAATACAAGTTTTGTTAAAAAAAAAAAAAAAAAAAAAGGAAGAAAGATACTAAGTTGATGCTATGTCTTCTAATGCAGTATGTGTACGTAGCCTGGTTAAAATATAAGGGTTTATAAAATCATTAGTAAGTGTTAATACTGGAGGACAAGCTTATTGTATCATGCATTAGATCTATTTTGGTCATTAAAATTATATAACAAATGTGACTATATTGTCATCCTTCCTTACCTGAGCACCATCATGTACATGGGGTTGTGAGTGAAGCAGGCAATCAATGATGCCAGAGAGATGACCAGAATGACGGGGAGCAGAAAATGTGGGCAGCTGTTTGGACACGGAGCAGGGCGGGCGCTACCCTGGCTCCCTGATACACACCTGCAGTTGGTATACAGCTGTAATCAGACAGAAAGCAAAGGGAATATTAATATCGTTGTTATCTGCACAAACAGCTTTTGTTAAGTTGTAACTACATCTACTGTGATGCTTATTTTGCCCACTGGGATTTGAAGTTAGACCACAGACTGTAAAAGAAGTGGATGTGTCCACCATGATGTAACCGACTGGTTGGTGGACTACTGTTGTGAAACCTTCAGTCTGACATTTTGGCTGTTGCCATCTTGTTTTTTGGAGCCAAAAGTGTAAGTAAGTTTTCTTTAGTGTATAATCACCTTAAATAAGACTCATTGTGTTTTCATTACCTTAGAATGAGCTGTTTAAATCTACACAGGGAGCAGATTCTCATTTATGGAGATCGCCATGTTGGAGTGATATATTTTTTACAGCAGCCTAGAATGGCAAACTGAACATTGGCTCTAGTCAGCCACCGTAGTTAGCAGCCACTCCGTGAAGAGAGCATCGTAAAAACACTGATTTTTTTTAACATGAAACTGCTTTTTTCAGTGTTTTTACCAGTTTAAATCACTGGGTGTGTTTGTTTTGTAGAGTAGGAGACCTCCTCTACAAAACAGATAATTCGGCTCCTGGTAAAAACCTCTTGAACAAGGAAGGAATTATAACCAGAAGTTTCAGCTGGTTGCAATCTGCATCCTCACAACTAGATGCCACTAAATTCCCCTAAATCTTACACACTGGACCTTTACACAACACCGTATCTGCTGGTGTGTTGAAATCAAAAGACAGAAAGTGCTTATGAAAATGAATCGAGACCTTTGTCCAGCACCTGATTAAATCCCACCTGTGGACATGTGAGTCCACCAGAAGGAGAAAATAATTATTCTGAGACTTCTTGGGATTCATTAACGAAGCTGGTTGTGCTGCCTGTGTTTATAGTGCAGCACTACACAGTGAACTTACAAGCTGAGTCAAACTGACTAATACTCTATCAGCAGTCACACAATCCACCCACGAAAAGATTATTCACAAGCTGTGATGTCTGGATACTGACGTTTTGTCCCTCTTAAAACACCTCCTATATGACTAATAAGCATTGATTGGACATTGATCCTGAGCCACTTGCGTCCTGTTAGCAGCAGAGCAGTCCCTGTGTAAGGTCTGACTGCGTTCCTGGCTGATGATGAGACACATGATGTGCTGTAGGACCGGCGCTTCATATCACTGCTGATATGAAATGTGTGATCATTTGGCAGATACGTCACAAAGTAGAGGCATCTAAGGTCAAAGTCACTTCCTGTCCCAAGTGTCTACTTAACATTGGAATAAAAGATGTTTAAAGATCAAGTCAACCCCCTGAAGAGCGGATTCTCTCAGTGCAGCGTATGCATTCCCTACAGCACTCTGCTCCTACACAGTTAAAGGTTAATTACACCCTGACAGGAGGATCGTTTACAGATCCTGTGCTAGGACAAGAACCAAACACTTATTCCCTTTTCCCACACTGAGATAATTACACAAGATTATAGAAGGAAATTATACATTTCTGAACTCTTTCCCTGCTGTAAAAACAAATCATACTTATTCATTTTTTTTTTTCTTTTCAATAAACTTATCAAGCATTCCTATCTGACACGATTAGTCTTCATCAGGTAATTTAACTCATTACTGCTGATGATTTATTGTACAATGTTGTTCTTGTGTTGCACAAATATTCCTCAAATCATGCTGTGTTTACACAGCCCCATATCACAAGCATGTCTCAAAGCTGTAGCTGGTAACTTTTATAAAAAAAATGACTGAGTCATATTTGTCGAAACTGTCACTACATCCACACAGGATTACATGAGACAGATAATCTGTGAAACAAAATATATATCACAGTTATTTTCATAAAAGTTACCAACTGTCAGTGTTGAGCAAGCGGCAAGTTACGCCACATCAAAATGACGTTTCACTACACTGAAGCTACCCACAGAGAAACGTAGCAAGCTAAGCTGTGAGAAGATGGCAAAAGTAGCTTGGTACTTTACGGCTGCTTTTATTTATGGACTTTATGTTAAATCGATATCTCAGTGATAAGAAAACTGCCAGATAGGGCAGACAGGCAGCAAAAAATCTTCAGTTGAACTGTTTATTGTAAAACTTGTAAAACGTAATAACATGACATCATCAGTCAACCTATTGCTCTCTGTCTTTCTTTCTCCTCTTCCTACTTTATGCATTTCTCTGTGTTGACCTCTTTCAGTAGGCTATCTTGCTATAGCCCTTTTTAAATAGGAATTGTGCAAATTTGCAGGAAAGCCCAATCAGTCTTCTTTCAGCATTGGCAGTATAAAAACAAAATCGGGAAGTGCAGCAAAATGCCGCCTACCTACTTTTGTTTATACAGAATGTGCCTTTTTCGGGGCAATGGGGGCGTGAGCAAGTAACAAAACATGTAGCTCAGCGTGTGACGGAAACAGTGACGTGGGAGGGAAGCCGCGGCTGGTCAGTCCTTCGGCGATTCTCACATAAGTCGGCCCGTCCTTCACCGTCCCCGTCATCTGACGGTTAATGGCCTCTTTGTTTGCGAGGGCAAGGAGGGCGCGCAATTCCTTGTCTCCCCAGTTGCTCATCTTTACAGTGTCTGTCAGGTTTGTGTTTCCCTCTTGCTACTAGCTGATCGCTAATTCCTGCTATCAGCTGTTTCCTGTTTATCCACCGCCAGTGGGTCGCACGTGCGCGTCATCAACAGCTCCTCCCACAAGTCATCAACAGCCCCTCCAGTGGTGGACGGGCGCCTCAAACCAAAAAAGGTTCCGCCAATATGACTACCCTACAAGATGGAAAATTGGGCACCTCGGATAAACTCGCCAATCCGGCTCTGTGTGTCTAAACGCTCGCAGCTTGCCTGCAAAATGGCCCAACATTCGCCGAAAATCTGGCAGTGTAAAAGGGGCTAATGTCATGACAATAAAAATAAAAGACCTGAATTAAAACTTTTCTTTTTCTGGGACAATTCCTGCATATAACACGTGACATAGGTACTGTATGTTTCTTCCTTCTTAATACTGTCCTCTGTCTCTCAGCTCTTTTCTCTGCCCTTGGTGTGTCTATTTCTCCGGTGTCCACTGCAAATCCACTAAATATATACCGTCTATGGGCGAGACACGCTAGAGATGTGTCAAGAAGTGCAATGTAGCCAGTCAGAGGCAGAGTAGGGCGGGTCTTGCCAAGAAAAGCCAATAGCCAACTCAGAAAATAGTAACGTTGCCACCACGCTACTGAGACATACAGTTAAATTATTAATGTCGCTACTTGTAGTGACGCTCCTGCCCAACACTGCCAAGTGTAGCTTTAATGACATCATCAGATATATCTCATATACAGTAGCCTACACTCTACGCCAATGTTAAATATATCATTTCCACATCAGCCTGACCTGCAGGTATTTACACTGTGGGAGCAAACCATGAGCAGGAGGCACTGACCTGAACCCTGTGGGTATTGTTGGGGTCTTTGGTGAAGTTGGTGCAGCCTGCATGGCACGGAGAAATATACTCGACACCGTCAGAGCCACACACAGGGTTGAAGGCAGTGGCAGGACAGGAGCAGTTGGAGTAGCACAAGGAGAGAGACCTGTGGAGGGAGGAGAGAAACACGTTCAGATAAGCCCATGTGTTTCATTTTGACTACGTCTGAGTATTCTGCAAGTAGCTGTTACGATAAAGTCATTAAGGTTCAGGTGTTTTGTTTTCAGTATATCAAACTCCTGGACTCTATCACTCTGCTGTGAGATTCTTTTTATCTACAAAGCCCTCACTGGAAAATCACCATACTACCTCTCAGAATTGCTTCTGCACTCAGATGGGCTTTATCAGACACGCTCTGCTGACTTCATGTTCCACCAGTTTGGTCTGAACTTGAAAAACTGCTTTTAATTTTAGTGCATCTGTCTCCTGGAACACAATACAGCACCACTATAAATCAATTCACTTGGACGGCTTAGAAATTTGATCCTGAACCTCCCAACTTCCACTTGAAATTGTTATTTTCAGTCATATAACCACAGACGGCGTGTTCGCTTGCTGTTGCAGGTGCTGCGTCCCCACTGAGCCCTCTGTTTCTGTCCTCACGGTGTGCCGCTGTCAGACACTGGGCCGCTGCTGCTGCTCGCTGTATGTGCTTATGCCCGGCACACACAGAGAGCAGCATGTTGGAAGGCTGCTCGCAGACGAACACTGGGTGCGAACAATGCAGGTTCCAAAACACTGGTGTATTTTCATGGCCGGGCGTGCAGTTGGAAGTGATGTTGAAAGGTAACACTGGCCTACTTTCACCCAATTCTTGGACAGGCTAACCTAGAATTTGCATATTCATGAAGGCAAAAGTAAACAAAGAAATGGGATTATACTGTATCGAGTGTCCTGTCGACTCCCTGTGTGCACTGTGAGCTCCCAGATTCAATAAATGAGTATGAAAACTCATATTTCAGAAACAGAAGTTTAAAAATGTGTGTGTAACTGTTGGAAATCTGTGTGAGTTTGTGAAAAATGTACCAAAAGTGTTAAAGATAGTGACCAGTGCCCACATGCCAAAAAATTTCCTCCCAAACGTTGGTGGGAAATTTTGGGACTTGAACAAACATTTATCATAAGCTAGGCTGGACGTGTGTGACTCTAATAAATTAAACTACCCCTGTGAGAAGCAATTCTGTGTCACATGAAAGCATCACCATGACAACGCCCCGCTCTCCTCACTCACCGGTGCTGTCCGATCTGGTCATGATTGACCTCTGAGACCTTCTGCGTGGGACAGCCCATGAAGAAGAGAGGGATGCAGAGGAGGGTGGACAGGGTCAACATAGCCACACAGAAGCGTGGGATGATCTTAAGAGAGAGACGTGCCCTCTTCATGATGACCCCACCCACCAGCATCCCCACTGCCACTGCAGGTAGATTCACAGCACCTGGGGAACATGAACAGCTCAGTGACCACCAGGTGAAGATGTTGTTATTGCGTGCCTAAAGAAGTGTCATTGTATTTGCTAACACCCTGACATTAATGTCAGCTGTAGTTTGTTAATACATAAAAATACTGCAAAGGAGCAAACTTGAAAACCCAACTTAAATTCTTATCGAGGAAAAGATGATGTCACAGATCTAATTCACTCCTTGGAAAGAGGCCATGGTGCAAGCTGGCTGACACACTGTAGTCTAGTGTCCATTAAATGACTTTAACAGACTGTTTCATTTCACTTCCACAGTTCATAAAAATGGTTTTAATATACACTCACTGGCCACTTTATTAGGTACACCTTGCTAGTACCAGGTTGGACCCCTTTTGCCTTCAGAACTGCCTTAATCCTTGGTGTCATAGACTCAACAAGGTGCTGGAAACTTTCCTCAGAGATGTTGGTCCATATTGACATGATGACATCACACAGTTGCTGCAGATTTGTCGGCTGCACATCCATGATGTGAATCTCCCGTTCCACCACATCCCAAAGGTGCTCTATTGGACTGAGATCTGGTGACTGTGGAGGCCATTGGAGTACAGTGAACTCATTGTCATGTTCAAAAAACCAGTTTGAGATGATCTGAGCTTTGTGACATGGTGCGTTATCCTGCTGGAAGTAGCCACCAGAAGATGGGTACACTGTGGTCATAAAGGGATGGACACGGTCAGCAACAATACTCAGGTAGGCTGTGGTGTTTAAACCATGCTCAGTTGGTACTAAGAAAATCTCCCTCACACCATTACACCACCAGCAGCAGCCTGAACCGTTGATACAAGGCAGGATGGACCCATGCTTTCATGTTGTTTACACCAAATTCTGACCCTACCATCTGAATGTGGCAGCAGAAATCCAGACTCATCAGACCAGGCAACGTTTTTCCAATCTTCTATTGTCCAGTTTTGGTGAGCCTGTGTGAACTGTAGCCTCAGTTTCCTGTTGTTAGCTGACAGGAGTGGCACCTGGTGTGGTCTTCTGCTGCTGTAGCCCATCTGCTTCAAGGTTGGACGTGTTGTTGGTTCAGAGATGGTCTTCTGCAAACCTTGGTTGGAACCAGTGGTTATTTGACTTCCTGTTGCCTTTCTATCATCTTGAACCAGTCTGGCCATTCTCCTCTGACCTCTGGCATCAACAAGGCATTTTCACCCAGAGAACTGCTGCTCACTGGATATTTTCTCCTGTTCAGACCATCCTCTGTAAACCCTAGAGATGGTTGTATGTGAAAATCCCAGTAGATCAGCAGTTGAACAGTTGTACCTAATAAAGTGGCCAGTGAGTGTATATACCAAACTTTACATTATGACTTGAATTATTTAAAAGCTGACAATGACTTCAAGCAGTTGACTGAAAGGGTTATATTTGTGCTGCTGCAGTACCTACCTACTAGCAGGCTGCTGTAGGCGGGCGACGCGCTGTACTGTCGCTCCAGGAACTTGTTGAGGAACGTAGCGAGACCTGCGATCACTGAGGAGAAGCAGCACTGGGCCAGGACCAGCATCAGGAAGAGAGGGCTCAGCAGCAGGTGGACAAACATCCTGGGAAACACTGATCAGACACAGTCACACAAAGATACACGGGTTATTACTGATTATTGATACTGGAGACGACTCCAGTGAAAACTCTCTGAACCTCTGCAGGCTGAATATAATAAACTTACTTTTCAGGAAATCAAGTAGAGAGACATCTGGCTTCTTGAAGTCATCACTCATGTCAGTTTCACTTCCAATCACCTGGAATATAACAGGCAGTGTAGACTGAATGTGTGAAGGCAAATATGCAGTGTGTAATGAATACAGGTATGGAGGACAAGAAACAAATAAAAATAAATGTTTAATGTTAATACAGGATAAATACATGCTGACATAAATATGGAAATAAATAATTACATTAATGAATTAATACCTGATTAACATGGGAACTCAGAAATAAAGAAACGAACAAATGTAGTTGTACAAAAATGTAGAAATTAATTATAGATATTTATTTAAGTACTGCATAATAATTTTTTTTAAATAAATTTGTAAAATAATTTATTTATCTTTTTATTTACACATTTAATTCAACATTAATTTATGAATTTATTCTTTGTTATTTATGTAATTATGTATTCCGGTATATTTATACACTTATCTATTAAATAAATCTATTTTTATTTATTATCATGATTATTTTCATTAACATAGGGACACAGAAATAAACAAATGATGCTGTACAAAAATGTAAAAATGAAATGTGTTTGTTAAATAAATAATTTATATTTATATTTCCATATTTATTTCAACATTTATTTCTGAATTAATTATTTTCTCTTTAATTATTTATTCATGTATACTTTTTTAGTTGTTCATTTTATTTCTATTTATTATTATAATTTTTTTTCATAACTTTATTTCATTTTGAAGATTGTTTTTTTAAATAATAAAATAAAGTGCTTCAGAGTGCTGTGTGTTTGAGCTCAAGTAAGGGCCATGAGAAATTATAGCAGTGAGTTAATCACATCCCCTGGCCTCCTCTAAATAAGCATGAAATAGGTCTCAGATGGCCGCCAATTTTTTAAATTGAGTCCTTTTACCTGTATGACTGAACTGACATCTCTGCACTCAATTTATTTATTCATTTATTTCTGTATTGATGCTTAAGTCTATTTGTTTCCTCCATGTACAGAAGCATTTATATGATACAGTTTATATGATACACCTTCGTTTTGTCCCCATTTCTTTTGGTCTCTTCGTGCTGCATTCATGCATTAAAATCACCCAAAGCTGTACAACATCACAATGAAAGATTTCTAGACAGATTTTATTGCTCAAAGATCACTTTTGTGTCTTCTTCATACTGAAATATTTGCTCTTAGTTTTGTATGTTTTAAACAAAACCAAGAAAGTACTCTGTATCAGTGACTCCTATCCTGTTTTGTCTGAAGTACCCCCACGTTGCTATCAGATGACCTCATCAGCACTCACCCGTCATGTTCCAAATGTGTTCATTTTAGCTGAATTTACAACAACAACTTTATTATGTTACCAGGTCGAGTCCCGGACAAAGCTGGAGGAGCCAAAAAGTGGTTTCACAAAACAGTGGGAAATGAATTCTGGCCCTTTTCTCATCTATGACTAATGTTTTCTGTGGATTGTTTTAAAAGGTCAAAATACAAAATGTAAAGTACAAATCAGTTCTTGGGAACAGAAGTGTGGTCAGTGAAGTGATATGTGTCAGGTATAATTTGGATTTATATGTTGATATTGCGAAACATTCTGTGCCTTCAAGATAGTGAAAAGAGGAAAAGTGAAATGCAATGTTGACACAGAGCCTGTAGGTGTCAGTAAAACACGAGCAATACACCACAGTTCAATGAGTGTTAAGTAGTGAAAAAGGCTGCTGTGACCTTAAAGAACTCTGAGAGTCAGAGTGTGACTTACATTGTGTTCTGCCGGCATCCGACGAGGGAAGAAGAAGTAGGGGATGGAGGTGAGAACCAGGAAGCCGCTGGTGATGAGCAGGCCCATCCACCAGGCCCCGACCCAGCGGGGATCAGACACTCTCAGCTCCTGTTCAGCTCCTGCATGAAAACAGCAGTGAGCACAGTCATTCCTGCTGTAACCTGTCAGTAAAATAACTGTGGGATGGATGGAACTTTAAAGACCTGATCATTACCTAAACCATATTTGTCCACGTCCACATAGATCCGCAGCATGACTGCGCCCAGCAGGTATCCGATGGCTGGCCCGAATACAGATACTGCAAACAGGATGGCTGTGAATGATAAAGCAGCTGTGAGGTTTTGAAGCAGTGTCGAGCTGTTTTGTATGAAGGATGAAAAATGACTTGCTTGAACAAATGCTTAAATAAATAAACTAATTAATCAATGCTGAAATAAATATGGAAATAGATAAATGCATAAATAAATACACATATAAAAGCTGAAAGGACATAAATGAATAAATGTCTCTTTACTTGCTGTTCACCCACACTTCAACAACTCCCTAAAAGAAATGTTTGTATGAATTTATAAACGTATTTAAAAGGTCCAAAAATGTGATAAAATCATTTGAGTGGCTTGTGGCCAAAATTCATGCAGTTGCCAAACAGGAAACAGGAAGTCAGTAAAAGCAGGAACTCCTCACATTTCTGAAGCTGCTGGAACCTGAACCTATCTTAAATTGATTTCTACATTTTTGTACAACTACATTTATTTATGTATTTCTGTGTCTCTATGCGACTCAGGCAGGAGGTTCTAACTTCTTTTATTATTTCTTTTTATTTATGAGGTTTTTTTGCATTTATTCATTCTTTTATTGTTTTTTCCAGGTTTTATTTATTTATTGCTGTATTTATTTATACAGTTATTTATCATTTTTTGTCGTCCATACTTATATAATTTTCTTACCAAATTGTGACCTCCCACTTTTAAGGTTCTACATTTTTTTTCCCTTTTTGAAATAAATAAATAAATAAATAATAACTATTCTTTAACAAATTATTAACCTTTTGTGTCAGGATATTCTTGCTTATATGCATTAAATTTGAAAAAACGTAAGGGTGTCTAATTAATTTAACTTTTTTAATCTTTAACTTTCTTCTGCCAGTTCGCCAACAACAAAGTGAAAAAATTGATTTTCCCCTATGGGACTAATAAAGTATACAGAATTAAAGAAAATTAATAATTACAAGGTTCCATCTGCAAACCAATGATCCTTTGTTTGAAAGGTTCACAGGAGAACAAATCAGGTTTACTCTGTTTACCACATTTCCTTAGGTTTGGTGCTCTGAGGATAAAGGAGCATAAAAAGCTGCTCAATCTTAAATTTAAAAACCTTAAAATTGCTGAACTTCTCAAAAATATTATGAACATTTTCACCAAAACAAGAGAACGTAGCTGCATAAAACCATCTTTTAATTCCCAGGTCATGAAACACTGATGGTAAAAGTTTTCCAAAGCCTGCAGAATGACCCAGAATAACACCATGACCCTCAGATTGCGCTCTCCTTATCTAAACAAATCAATCAACCATAGGCCATTCACCTATGTAAAGAGGGGAGTTTCCAGGTCCAGCAAAATCATCTATGTAGGAAATCCCAAATGGCTGGATGGGCACCGAGCCCACACCGAAGAGCAGCTGAGCGCTGCCCATCAGCAGCCACAGGTTGTTCGAGTCAGCCAGACGCCTCTTCTCCTCACGGTCACACGACTCCAGGTTACTCGAATTCCTCTGCACGGTGCAAATGTCTTGGTGGTCTGGATCACAGCACACGGACGGAGAGAGGGGAGGAGAGGGGAGGACAAGTTAATGAGAGGCTGGTGGATGTGACTTCTTTAATTTCTTGAAGCTTTTAGCACATGGGAGAAGTTTTCCTTGCAGGCTTTCTCCAAGGAAGCCCTTTCTGACAGGAATGTATTCATCTTAACCCAAACTACACCATTTTTTCTAACCTTAACCAAGAAAGTTTCTCCCAACCGCAAGCTTCTATGGCCCTTCACTGACACTCTGCACAACACTTAAGAATTTTGACTAGGGGCAAGATTAAAGGGATAGTCTGGGTTGTATGAAGTACTTATCCATAGTCAGTGTATTACCTACAGTAGATGGCAGTCGGCCTGCCCCCAGTTTGGAGAAGCAGACAGGAGTACCACCATAGAAGCTAAAGCAATGTACTGCTGTGGACAGGGGCAGACACAAAATGTATTTTAGCCACTATTGTGTATTTTCTCCACTCTACCTTGCTGACAGACAGCCCTTGCTGATGGGCAACTGAGGCCAATATATACATCTAAGCTCTCTTCAAAGCTACCAGCCTCCTTTGACAAAAACAGTAATTTAACCTTGCAGAGAACAGGAGTTGCTGATTTACAGCTGCCACGATGGGGTGGTTTGTTTGTGTTATTGTGTGACTTTGGTGTTTTAAAGGGTTAGCTCAGATTCACCAAAGTCACACAATAATACGAAGTAACTAACTGATTGAGGCAACGGTAGACCAGCAACTCCTGTGTTGTGCAAGGTAAAATTACTGTTTGTGTCAAAGGAGTCTGGTGGCTTTGAGAAGAGATATGTAACCAACACATTCTCACTCTGAACTCGTCACATATTACACGTTATGTCATGGACTTTTCACATCCACATACGACGTGCAGGGTACCCTGAGTGAATTGGTTGTTGACGTTCTGGGACACAGAGTCAAGTTCTCGTCTTTCAAGATACACTTCTGTTTTCACAGGAAATTTAATATTTACAGAGTCTCTTCCAAAATAAACGCACTACGTCGGTACAACACCACAAATTGATGTTTTTGTCCTTCAACAACAAACACAAATGTTGGGTTTAGGAAAAAAGCTCAGGGTTTGGCTTTAGAATCTTACGAGACGCAAACACCACTCTCTCGGGTGAAAGTCGGTGTTTGTCGCCGCCTTAACTTTCATCCTTGTCCCGCCGCATTTCTCCCTGATGCCGCCACGCGCGTTAAACTATAATGGCAACTGGCCACATATCACGCTGACGTTAAAGGATGCCTTCTTTTGTTGGTTTCTGACGCTGCAAGTCACTGCCCAAGCGCCGGATTTTGACGACTTCGGAGTGAGACTGTGTTCATATAATGGCCTCAATTCCCTAAAAGAAAGGGCTGTCTGATGGCAAGGTAAAGCAGTGAAAACATTTTCAATATAGCACTGTATTAAACTATATTCATTTTTTTTGGGGGGGGGGGGGCTAAAATACATTTTGCGTCCGCCCCTGTCCACAGCAGTACATCGGTTAGCTTCCATGTTGGTACTTTATTCTCCTTCTCCAAACTGGGAGCGTGCCGACTCACATCTACTGTAGGTAATACAGCGACTATGGAAACTTACCTCACACAACCCCACTTCAAAAATCTGAACTATCCCTTTAAAGTGGAAAGAGAGAGATTGTTATTACAAATTAAATGTCCTGGAGGTAACTCTAATCGTCTTAACTTTCAGCGAGTTCACAGACACTAGGAATTTCTCTCTGATTTACAAAGAGTTCACCTGGGGAGCACTGGCAAAGCTTTCTAAATACACCACTCGCTGCAGAGTACAAAAAGCAGTTACTTGCTTGACTCCTGCTGAGTGAGTGGAGCCTTTGCTGAAAAGATGCCGCAGCTTTCTAGACGAACCCTTAAGTAAAGTCTCATAAATTGCACTGACATATTTGTACTTTCATGAGTCCCCAGCTCTGGACTGAGTCACAGTAGCTGTCACAGTGGTGCCAGCAGAGACAGAGAAGCCGCGTGGTATTCAGGTCTTTGTTCTTACTGTGTAAAACAGAGTCATATTCGTAGGGCTGGGATACGAAGTGAGGTAAGGTCAGCATCATGGCGCTGACAGCCATCAGTAGTCCACCGATTCCAATGACGCGAGGCCGGTGGACCCGATTTCCAAAGTAGCTCACGAACACTATCAGCACACTGTTGCTGACCTGAGAGACAGACACAGACAAATGCTTCAGAGAGGAGCCAGAGGAATCAATCCTTTCACACTTAATGCATCAAGTTGCAGGTCTCACACTTTCCAAACATTACTAATGGACTCTTAAAACCAAATATGGAAGTGGCCAGGGTTGCACTGTAATCCAAATTTAGTGGGGTCTGCACACAACACAGGCACAGTTCAGGATTAAAGGAATACTCGGCCCCCAAAATGACTATTTATATATCAATTACTCACCCAGTGTTGCGTTGAATTTGTGAGGAAAACTGTTTTTCTGACGGGGAACTGATCGAAAAGTGAAACTTACCTATGCTGTCTTCAAAGCTAGACTCCACTGACAAAAACTGTAATTTTACCTTGCTAATCCCAGGAGCTGCTGGTCCATTGCAGCCTCGATCAGATAGTCAGTAAACACCAAAGTCACACAATAACACAAACAAACTCCCGATCAAGGCAGCAGTAGACCAGCAGCTCCCGTGTTCAGTGAGGTAAAATTGCTGTTTATGTCAGTCTGGCTTTGAAGAGAATATAGATGAGTTTCACTTTTCATTCAGAAAGGATTGCCTGTTTGGTCTCATAAATTGCACTGACATATTTCAGGTAGTGTGCTGGTTTGTTTGAGCACTTTCTCTGAAACTAAAAAAGCAGCCGCCCTCTGAATCTACAAATAAAGCTGATGAGAGTGAATCAAACAGTTAAGTTGTGGGCTGTGAAACCTAAACAATTAGCTAAAAAAGCTGTACGGCTGAGATGAACTGCAGAGACGGGTGATAATACTCATCAGGTTCATCGCTAATAATAACCTGTTCTCCATTTTGACCTTCCCATTTTTCATCTGTAGCAGTTTTAATAACTCTAAAAGGAGATCCGAAATTGAAATCTTCAGGCTGTGTTTTAATAAAATATCATATAATCAAATCAGATGTTGTAAATCAAATTAGATCTCCAAGCGCAGCCAAATCCTGAGAGCCGCAAAAGAATTTAAAAAGCCTTAAGGTAGCAATGTCAACACAGTGATTTAATCACAGATGAGTGACCCCTGGTCATGCATACTTGAAACCTAACTGGAAAATATTTATCAGTGTGATGCATTTAAAACCCACTTGAGCTTAAAAAAAAAATCCAGCACATACGGCTCATGTTATCGTTTCCTTGACCCCTCATATCTGTGATAAAACTGTTCCAAAATACTTGAGTCTGGCTTGAATTCAGGAAGTGTGATTGTGATATGCTGCTTGTTCTCCAATTCCGCCTTTGTCACTGGTATCCTTGAAATAAAGCTATCATGATCTCAGGCTGTGTGAGGGTATGTTATTGTTGGCTCCTACCTCATGGAGAGAGGAAATAGTTCCTGAGGAGTAGCTGCTGAGGCCGTAGCGTCTCTCGATTGTGCTGATGGTGCTCTTGAAGTAGGAGCTGTACAGCAGCTGAGAGAACTGCAGGAGGCCGTGGCACAGGACAAACAGCTAGGACAGACAGACAGACAACACAGGAGGAGGATTGAGTCTCTAAAGTAGGTTACAGTCATAAATGTCAAGTGTCAAGCGTCTTTTGTGCCGTTTTCAGCTGCGAGAGACGCTTGGTTGCTCGCACAGAGAAGCAGATCACACTCAAAGCCTAAAGCGTATTCCTCCCGAGAGGCCTAAACTGTTCCAAGAAACAGAGAACAACTCAGAGGAATCACATTGTCATCCAAAACGTGGTGTCTCGGAAAAGTACCAGATTTGTGTTGAACAACTTTCCCGTGTTTTTCCACCTCCGCAACACACTGACATGATGTGACGTTCACTCAATGTAGTGCACAGTTAAACATCAGAGAAGGAATCTTACGGTGTCTGTGCAGCGAAATGCAGCGAGGAACAGCTGCTTCACAAAACACATGGCACAGCTGACAAGTACCAACACATCAGGCCTGGACTCTGCCGCATTCACCATGTCAAAAGACAGGAAACAACATTTAAAGGGATAAAATGTACATATTCTACACAGAAACCACAGATGAGCTGGGTGTAAAATGAGGCAATATAGATCAGTAATGTAAGTCTTATGTAAGTAGAATTATTGCATTTAAAATTTGAGTTTTAAAAAAACAGGGCTTGACGCTAACTTTTTTTTTCCAAGGAGCACATGTGCTCCTAAGTTGAAAAAGTAAGGAGCGCACAAAAGAACTTTAGGGGCACAATGTAAATTGATCAAATAATGTGTTTTCTGTAATAAATGTGATGCAAATAGACATTTACAAGCAAAATTTAATGAATTTGTATACAAAATGTACAGAAATGTAAAATCATCAAGTTTTGAAAAAGTATTGCAATTTAATTTTGTCTTTAATGTTATTATCTTATATATATTATCTTTGCAATATGATTATCTTATATAATGTTATTACTATCCTAAAACATTCTCCAGGTCCTCTGAAACTCTGCAGGACTTATTTCCACCCTGCCCAGCAGCGGTACCGTGGCGAACGGTCCCTAACTGCGGGGAGAACGGAGCAGGNGACTTATTTCCACGCTGCCCAGCAGCGGTAGCTTGGAGAACGGTCCCTCACTGCGGGGAGAGGGGAGAGGGCTTCCCTGGAAGTCCGCCGCTTAACCCAGTCCGTCTCCTCCGCCACACTTTGACTTATTTCCACCCTGCCGACAGTGGGACTTATATTCATTGTGCCGACAGTGGCTTGGAAAACCGCCCATAACCGTGTCACACGGGGAAGAGGGAAGAGGGCAGGCAGCTGGAGTTCCTCCAACATTTGCGGTTAGATTATCATATTTTTTTACTGACTATAATATAGGCTGCTTCGGCTGATTTTTTTATGCGCACATGTGCCGCTAAATATTTTTTACAGTTCACACACACCTATTTTTAGTCGCAAATGCAAGTGAAATGCTCGCACTGTCGTGTGCTGAAAAAGTATAAAAGTATAAGAGAAAAATGCACTGAAGTATGAAAAGTAAAAATACGTCTACTCATTAGGCAGCAATGTTCCCTTTTACAGAATTCAAATGTTTGCTCTCTAGCCAAGGACACCTCTCTCAGCTGTGCACAAAATGTGAAGCTACAGCTGGGATATGTTACGTGCTACATCGTAGGCAACTGGACTTGCTAGAGTGTCTTGAAGACGTTTCACCTCTCATCCAAGAGCCTACTTCACTTCTAACAGACTGGTGTGGAGTCTTTAAACCCTGTGTGAGTGTGAGCCCTTACAGAGTCGTTGAGGTCACAGGTGTGTCATTGACCCACCCCACCATCATGTTTGTTGTTAGGGTTAGATGGGTCCAGGTGTGAATGGGTGTTAAGACGCTTAGGGCGGGATTCCAAGACTGAATTGTAGGTGGGTGGTAAGTGGTGTCATAGACCACCTCCTCTACTTAACGATGGTAACAATGGTAGTTTGACGTAGATGGCGTCTTTCACACCTCATTCAAACCATCTTTCTTCTCTGGCCATTGCGGTCCTCAAAAGAATGTCCCTTCTCCTTTGGATGTGAATGGCCAGCTAAGTCCATGCACTTGTGGAGTGGTTGTACAAACCTGTGCATTCCTGGCTGCACTGAACTGCATACACTACATTACTCAGCTTCTGCCTGGGACCCGAGCAGATGTAGAGTTACCTACGATATAATGTTAAAGATTACCATGACCTGGATGACTGAGAATCTTCACCAACAAGCTGGGATATGGTTAGAGTAGCTCAGAACAATGGCTTAAAACAGGGGCAAACAATAAGGCTGCCTCTGTCTAAAGGTAGCTCACTTCACTTTGTATCCATCCATCCATCCTCGTCTGCTTATCGGGGGCCAGGTCTGGGGCCAGCACGCTTCGCAAGCTCTTCTAAACATCCCTCTTCCCAGCAACGCTTTCCAACTCCTCCTGTGGGACTCGAGGCATTCCTAGGCCAGATGAGATATAAAATCCATCCAGTGTGTTCTGGGTCTGCCCCGGGCCTCCTACCAGTTAGACATGCCTGAAAAACCTTTAATGGGAGGCCCCCAGGAGGATCCTTATCAGATGCCCGAACCACCTCAACTGGCTCCTCTCAATGCGAAGGAGCAGCAGCTCTACTCTGAGCTCCCTACAGATGTCTAAGCTCCTCACCCTATCTCTGAGGCTGAGCCCAGCCACCCCACGGAGGAAACTCATTTTAGCTGCTTTTATATACATTTTCACGGTCACGGTCTGATGAAGCCTAAAGAACCACATCATCTGCAAAGAGCAGAAATGCAATTCTGAGGTCCCCAAATCAAACACTCTCTTACCCCCCCGGCTACACCTTGAGATCCTGTCCATGAAGATTGCAAACAGAATAAGTGAAGAGGGGTGACCCTAGTGGAGGCAGGAAGTCCCACTGAAAACGTGTTTGACCTTGCGCCAAGTTCCCAGACACAGCTCTCAATTTGGTTATACAGGGACCGGATGGCTCGTAGCAATGACCCCGGTACCCCATACTCCCGCAGACCCCACCACAGGACTCCCAAAGGGACGTGGTTATAAGCCTTCTCCAAGTCCACAAAGCAAGCAAAATCTCCCACTTTACATTACCGTGCTTTATATCTCACTTGTTTAATCCAAAAATGGAAGTGCTAAATCGAGGGTGTGCCTCCATGTGCCCGTATATTTCTTGGGTGGGATCAATTGCCAGGAAACCAGCAGACCCTCCATGATGTCACACACAATTGGAGTACTTGTAAAGTATTTGGTTACGTTCCACCTCTGGTTTCTGAGGCTGTTTTGATTGAAGTTTTCACAATATGACTAATAGTGATATCTTATGGCATTGCATGAATTCATCTGGTCTTCCTAGAAACTAAAAACAAAATAATTAAAGTGTGTTTCAATTATTGAATCATTATCAGTGTGTGTGTCTCCAACTGATGGAATGATTTTGTCTTCTAGTCTTCACATCCAGAGATGTGGAAAGATCAAGATTGCCCACTGGACGTGCTCCCAGTGATCTGGAAGAGCCACTCACCCGTCTGTGTGTCAGGAGGAGTTCACAAACACTCACTCTGAGGGTTATGAATGCACGAATGACGCTGAAGATACGTGTTGAGATTAGGAGTGAATTTGCTATGAAAACAGTGATAAATCCAGGCTTTCAGTTTGTTTACCGGGTGCCAGGTCAGCTGAGGGAGAATAAACTATGTGTTCGACTCAGAACAGTTAATGCTCCTATTAAAGCTTGGCTTTATGGTTTGTTAGCACACACAATTGATGCTTTCACACTGTTGCTAATATTTCATCCACACTTTATCTCAAAAGGATCCATTTGTTGGGGAAGGAAAAAGAGTTTCTTTTGTTTGGGGTTCAGATTCAAACAAAAAGTTAGTGGTTCACAACTGTTTCTTTAACCACAGATTCAGGTCAACCTAAAATCTACTTAAGCCTCTAATGACAGCAGGTCAATTTTGTCTTGATAAAGGGATGTTGCATAGTGTTGGAATTTGAATAACATATCCATAGAGTATTATAAAAGATGGAGAAGAAGGGCAGCAACAATACAACAGTGTGTCGACACCACGTCCCACTGTAAAGACGCAGGATTCATTATTTATCCGCTCTGTTAATACAAGTGATTTAAGTCTATTTAATGTTTGTAAGCACAAGCAGAGTTGGATCCTCCGTGGATTATGTACATATTTATCCTTTTGAACACTCTAAGCTCCGTCTGTCTGGACGTTATTGTCCCAGCCTTCAGCCCTGCTGTGAGGGAAAGAATTGAGGGAAGTTCTCAAATGCTTTTATTTCAGGGACACGTGCTGTAGCTACCACACTGGATATATTTTTTTTTTTTTCTACAAAAAATGCCTGATCTACTTGGTCAAAAACTACAGAAATAAAGGAAAAGCTACAGGATATGAAATCTCCCAGGATACTTGAAAGAAACTAAAGCAGCAGAATCACCTCCCTTCATTGTGAAACATACGGAAAAAAGTTGGTGCACAACAGCATCGTGATCAAAGGAGCATTTTCTCTGATTTAAAGCAATACAGTGCTGCAGGGATGATGAAGTTAGCATCGCCAGTGCAACAGGTACCAGTGTTGACATTAGTTAAATATTTATGAAAAACAACAACAACAAAAACAAATCAGTATTTGCTAAACTGAAGGCAAATTACTTTCGGAAAGAACCAGAATTGGCGGTTAGCTACCAAGAGTAGCCACTAGCTTAATGCTACTTCCACTATCTCACTGGAAGTTGCGCACATAATCATTTTGACAGTAGTGCCCTCAGGAATAAGGTGGATAGGAAGTACCTGGAGAAAATATGCTTATTCATTTAATCAAAGGTAATCAGATTACAAGATCAAACTTTGATGCCTGTCCACTAACATAAGGCTACAGCAAGTAATGTTAGACAGTTAGCTCAGCTTACAGACCACTATTTCTGAGGAAGGAAATCGAGCCGACAAGCACCTCCAGTGTTTTCACATATAGTCCTTTTTAAATAAACCAAACTCAGTCCTTTT